ATCACGAGGCGGGGAAGACCGATGAATTGTAAAAGGCACCCACAAACGTGAGGGAAGTCGGTCTGTCGAATGTCGGTTTTGAGGTCGTATTATCCTAAGGATTTCTTGAACGATGTGGTTGACATGGTTTATGTGGTTGACATGGACTCTTCCTCCCGAAAAACCCTTTGCTGCCATCGCTCATGAACTCGAGGTCAAATTTCCTGTAATGCCAGAAGGAAAGGGCAGTGAGCATCGCTCGAAATTTTATTTAGCATCAAAGGACAGGTTGCAACCAGGAATGAACGCGGGGAAAGGAATGAGGAATCTCAACGCCGAGAGTCGGGTTGGCACCTGGAAGATCACGATACAACTTGGGAAAATATTCGAAAGCAAAAGTGCTATACACATTCGTGGGTGGCTCTGGAACATGCCGTGGGTCCCGCATTCTATACATTTATCCCTTTATATTCATCGATTTCTAATAAATTGGAAGAAGCGAGCCGCAGAACGTCATGATGCCTCGGATCCCGTGTGATGCCTGACTCGCTTGAGTGCGATGACGACATCAATATTATGAATGTGACTTAGCTTTCTAGTCCGTCGCGAGAGGATGGAGAGAGTCGGTGTAATCAAAGTGAAGTCATGCAAGATACTTCTCGTTGCAAAAGCATTTCGAAGGACATCGTTCCTCTTTATATTTCGTTAAGGAATTTGAGAAATTGCGAAATTGGTATAACAATGCGTAGTAATGCACTTCATTCATTTTGCNTGACCATGCATTGTCTCATCTCATTTTCCTACAAAGACAATTTGGGAAAAAAATAATTTAAATGCAAGTTATTAAGAATAAATCGGCATTAAAAAGTTCAGCCTTAATCACGAGTGCAGAATAAAAGCAGAGGAATCGAGGAACCATAAACCAAGAAATTGTAAGGAAATAAAGCGGGAGCGAAGTGGCAGGACATGAAAACATATTGAGAAGCAGATTCAAGTACTTTATTCAAGTACTTTAAAAATGATAAACTCGGTTGAAATTTCATGAAATCGTGTCGAACAGGGACTCACCCTTTGGATGAGATCGGCGAAATTCTGCTCGATGCACAGGGTGACGTTTCCTACATGCAAAGCGGGACAAGAGTCACTGCCATTCCAAACTGCCATTCCAAACTGCCATTCCAAACTGCCATTCCAAACTGCCATTCCAAACTGCCATTCCAAACTGCCATTCCAAACTGCCATTCCAAACTGCCATTCCAAACTGCCATTCCAAACTGCCATTCCAAACTGCCATTCCAAACTGCCATTCCAAACTGCCATTCCAAACTGCCATTCCAAACTGCCATTCCAAACTGCCATTCCAAACTGCCATTCCAAACTGCCATTCCAAACTGCCATTCCAAACTGCCATTCCAAACTGCCATTCCAAACTGCCATTCCAAACTGCCATTCCAAACTGCCATTCCAAACTGCCATTCCAAACTGCCATTCCAAACTGCCATTCCAAACTGCCATTCCAAACTGCCATTCCAAACTGCCATTCCAAACTGCCATTCCAAACTGCCATTCCAAACTGCCATTCCAAACTGCCATTCCAAACTGCCATTCCAAACTGCCATTCCAAACTGCCATTCCAAACTGCCATTCCAAACTGCCATTCCAAACTGCCATTCCAAACTGCCATTCCAAACTGCCATTCCAAACTGCCATTCCAAACTGCCATTCCAAACTGCCATTCCAAACTGCCATTCCAAACTGCCATTCCAAACTGCCATTCCAAACTGCCATTCCAAACTGCCATTCCAAACTGCCATTCCAAACTGCCATTCCAAACTGCCATTCCAAACTGCCATTCCAAACTGCCATTCCAAACTGCCATTCCAAACTGCCATTCCAAACTGCCATTCCAAACTGCCATTCCAAACTGCCATTCCAAACTGCCATTCCAAACTGCCATTCCAAATCTGCCATTCCAAACTGCCATTCCAAATCTGCCATTCCAAACTGCCATTCCAAACTGCCATTCCAAATCTGTTGTTGATCCCCTCTTTTCCACGCTGGGCTTGGATGATGCCTTTCATTTAGAAATGCTTTGCAGAGCTCCCTGACTCAATTGAATTCCGTTGATAAATGAAAGAGAAGAAAAGCTAAATGAAAGAAACGTTTCGAAGTTGTTATGCATTCAGACGTTCGGACACAGACGTTTCATTATTATTATGTTTGGGCACCTCGTACAGATGTTTGGGCACCTCGTGCAGATGTTTGGGCACCTCGAACAGATGTTTGGGCACCTCGACGTGCGAGTCCCATCCCCACATTTCCTATTTTTCGTTAAAAATGTAGCAAGGTTCCCCCCCAAAGGCAAACCTGGCTTGGTGCGTGGAAATGATTTTGGGACGAAAAACAGAAACTGAAAATATAATATGAAAATCCTCATCCTTTAATTAAATAAAATCCTGACCGGCTCGAGCGTCGTCGAACCGCGACAGCCGCCGGTGGAGGCGGAGGACCCGCCGCTCGACCTCCCCTCCCCCCCCAGCCGTCGCCGAGCATCCCTCCGTCGCGACGAGCAGCGCCAGCATGTTCTGAGGGAAAGGCAATTTATTGCAATTGCAATTTTCTGAATGGTTGAATCGGTTTAAAAACGGAAATGATTGATTGGCTTACGTGAGGCTGGGGACGGACTCCGAAACAGCTCAGTCCAGCTGGCGACATACGCATAATTATTATTTTATTTAATTATTTATAACAAATTCGATAAAGCTGCTATGCACTTGAGCTGCTATTTTTATACTTGGAATTTTAAAAATTATTCAGACTCACGGAAAGGGTTGTCGTGTGCCCATCCTGAAAAGATTGAAACGCATGCATAATTAGATGGAGCACGTCATAGTGATCGAAATGCGTTCAAATATGCAGATAAATAATTAATAGAATATTTACAATTCATAATAATAGAATTTGCGCGACTGACCTCTTTCGGCGTCGACCCGGGCGAGGACGATCGCAAAAACCGCGGCTGCACCCACGGACGACTTCATGGCCGGAATGGGACGAAATGGGACGAAACGGGGACGATCCGTGCGGGGGCCTTGAGGACAATTTATGTATCTGCGTCGGCTGGAGATTTCGTATTCCGGGGCACGGGCGCGACGCGAGCCGCTCCGGAAGCGCGCGTGACCGCTCTCGCCTCCTTCGCATTAGGGGGGAAGAATGTCGACGACCGGATGTGGGCCGAGGATGCAATAGGAGGCAGTGGAACCGGTCGGAGGGAAACGGGTTGGCCTCAGGGCCATCGGCTGAAAGGAGAAAAAGGCGGGAAAGGGTTCGTTTTCGCCATTTCACCCTCCGTCATGAATATAATTGACGTGCGTGTTAAAATGTAGAAGAATCTCGTTCAAAAGCCTTTTTTTTCTGCTAATTTTCTTTCATCTGCTGGCTGTGGCTTCAGAGCGCCTCGCTTTCGTGAGCGTGAGGGTTCAACGGTTCAAAATTCTCCCCTTGTTCGTGCCGCTTGGAAGGCGACACCAAATTATAAATAAATAAAAAATTACAAAGAGCATTAACCGAATGCTGCAGATTTACGTCAACAATGTCCGTATCTACCAAAAAAGCCCTCATATTCTCGTTATCGGTCGCGACCACCTCGCCCAGGAAGGCCAATAGGTCGCCCGTGCAAAAATCTCGGATGCATTTAAAGGCAATGAATGCGCGATCCGCGTGCGAATTTTTTCGTAGAGTTTCGAGCGGGCCTGCGTTGCGCATCGGCGGAATGAGGACGCGGGTACCGCGGGGGATCGTCGGAGCAGCCCGACTGAACACGGAAGCCATGTCAAGGCCCGCCGACACCTCTACCGTGCATCTCGTGGCCGCCCGCAGTCTGAAAACTTCCTTTGAGCGTTTATCGCTTTGAACTTCGTCGAACGAACTCAAGTTCGTTTGACTTTGTGCCTCAGACCGGGTATGAAACAGGTCGGCTGCGATGATGTTGGCGTAACGTTATCGCCTTTGTAGGCCATGCAATCTCAGGAAAGGCAGGCCTGGAACTTGAAATGGGGAATCACGCCTATGGAAGTAGAAGATTCCCGACCTTTATTATTAAGTCTCCAGTACCACGACTGCCTTCCGTCACGTTCGCGTCTGCAAGAAGACTGGGAAGGGAAATCATGGAAGTACCATGGTACTGAATGGAGAAGAGCCGCTACACTCTAAGAAAATTCCTAGCGTTTAGGGAGTAAAAAGTGAGCACACTGAGAGCTTTTCAAATGTACTCCCTTATTGCTCACCAAATGCTCCCTCATCGCTCGACTGGAGGTGAGCGCCCTGAAGTTCTTTGCCAGGCCACTAGATGGAGGTTAGGGTCTCGTTCTTCGCACAGAAAGCAAAAATTCTCTTCTCTCTTTCCTGGGAATCATCCTTCGCAGGATTGTTTAGTCCTTGTCATATGTCTCGAGTAGTCTCATTATAGGAATCAATAAACTCGGTCACTACTTCATTTGTTATCCACATATTTGAGAAAATTCATAGAGCCTAGGCCATGAAGAAGCTCATATACCTGATGAGAACCGTTTTGAAGGTGGAACAGTTACATTCGAAGAGGTGATGAAGAATACAAAAGGAGTGTCTGTGAGGTCAGTTCTTCTTTTTCCTCAACTTGATGAGAGAACGAGGAAAGGAAGAAATGAAGTGTCGTGGACACTTCATGGAACCGTAAGAGTTGGTCCATCCTCTGACATCTACTGCAACCAGTAAAGTTAAATGTAGGTCAACGCCCGCACTGACAATATCGAGAGCGAAAGCAGCACAATGCATTCATGAGGATTTGCTCATTTTCACGACATGCCTATCTTTCTGAGGGGAGCATTTTTTCTCCTTGGTGATGGAGATGATTCGTTCCTTTCCCAGAGTGAAAGGGGGATGAAACTGGAGTTAGCGACTTTACTCTCTTCTTTTTTTTTCTCTTTTTTAGAAAAATCGCTCCCCTTTTTCTAAGAGTGCATGATTCCGACTTAGATACTAATTTCAGTAAAATCAATTGTCTCGTGCGCCACCTCCATTTTTTTTTCTTAGCTCAGAGCCATATAATCCACTGATCGAATTCTGATCGTGCTCCTTTATTCCTTCTTGTCCGTGACGAAAACGTTTCAAATCAAATCAAATATTTAAAAAGGGAGTGTATATTTCAAGTCACTTCTGCCCACAACACTAACGCGTGCAAGTAATCTGCTCGGTCAGAGAATCTTTGGCATTGGTTCGACCTTGCTTCGGGAAAAAAACGCCTTGTGGCGTCCCAGTCATTGTGCACATGTGCCCAAACTGTCTGCTGTGTGCAACTGCTACTGTGACATGCTACTGTCTAACGACAAAAGGAGGAAAGAAAACTAGCTTGTCGCAAGCTCGCAGCTTGAATATGATCCATCTGGTATAATGCAATGACATTTATTGGTATCACGAGGCCCACATCCTCAATAACAGATGCCTCAGTGACAGACAAGAGAAATCAATTTTCTCTGATGAGAATTCCATTTTTTATATGGCGCCACTTTCACACTCCGTCAAGATGAATACGTTTTTAAATAAAACCCATTTATTAGATTTATTCCCACACTGACAATGAAACCGCAAAGAAAGCAATGTTTAATCTTCATACCCTTCACATCCCATCGCTCATAAATAAGTTATAACAGGTTTTTCACAGCACAGAAACGTTTCAGATCATCTTCCCCGCCAAAGAGGGGACACAAGCATATACACAATTCATCCAAAACTCATTTAAAATTCATCCAAAACTCATCAGGTACACGAAGAAAACACCTCTGATAAATATCTCCAAGTGTAAAATTCCCATATACTCGTGTACATTAGCCAGAATCTAAAAGGAAACCTCGTCGGTCGGCGCGACTCATTCCCAGAACTGAAGTTTACGATTGAAATCAAGAACCTTGGAATAACGTTGACATTGAAAATAAATTATATCTTCTCAAAAAAAATCTATAACAACTTAACTGATAAATCTGAGCGTTAATTGGAGGAAGGCTTGAAGAAACTTGAAGTGAACTCTTTGGTGCCTTCTCAAATCCGACTGGGATACCGACTGAAATTGAATCATTTTGATGCATATGATGCAAGAGATGCTCGATGACGATAGGGAACCGCAGCACAAAGGTATTTTCTCCGCTGGAAGACCACTCGCACCCGCTTTTATCATGTAATTGCTTGCAGCGGTGTGAGTTAGCTTAATATTCGTGAAATGCTTTGTAACCATTTGGAGGTCTCATGAGGACCTACAGGGAGTCCACAGGGCAAGATTCATGAAAGGGAATACTGGAAGAATATGCATGTAATGAACCATAACCGCGATAGGTATGGCAAATTTAATACGACTAAATCCCAAAGAGGATGACCTATACAAATATGTAAAACTATTATTAGAAATATTCATTGGAAGATACATTTAAAAATTTGAGGGCAAAAATGGGAAGGGGAATGCAACTGGAAAGTGGGTAACAAAAACTCCCAGGATTCTGCTAAAAGGGAGTCTAGGGGAAATTAGAGGCTCTCATAACTTCTTCCCAAAGTTTTAGATCTCTGGGGACATTGAAAAATCCACTAGTAAAGGGAATGGAGGCGAATGGGAAACTCCATACGTATCTCTCGGGCATACCTTGTCTCTATTGAGAGAGCTAGGGCCTCCATGACTTTAAAGGGAATCTTTACTTGGACAGCGGCTTAAATACGGTCTGATATCTGACAGGAGAAAATAGGCAACTACTTCATTATTGGAATTGGATAATAGTGTAATACATTCAAGTAATTAAAAAGAACTCTGGTGATTTGCTTTCATTGCCTTGCACATGAAAGTATCGAGTAAATGTGACCTAAAAGTGAAGAGGAAATTCAACTGTTTTTTTTTTAAATGACGGTTGAAGCTTGGGAGCTTGATCTTGTAAAAATTCATCCTGCTTTACACATAACGAAGCCGAAATGCACCATGGAAGAAGTGTATAAAATCCAGAACAGGGTAAAATATTTAAAACTCATTAAGAAATTTCCGTAAATATTCCTAAGAGGTGAGCGCTTCAATCTTGGAAGAAAAAGTCTTTACATTGGCATTAAAATTTTCGATTGAAAATGTTCAATGTACTTTAAACATTGGTCCACTTTCAGTTCTCCGAACGAGTAAACTTCAAAAGCAAGAAGGGAAAGACGCCAAATTTCCCATTCAACTTCGGACCGTCAGTCTTGCAAATCCTGAAGGTGAAGCTGGTGCCTGGTCGACAGGTACTTCCGCAAGCCTATGATGTAGTTCCGGCATCCATCCGCATAAAGCTTTTGGAGGATCGTGGATGGGACGAACGGAATCTTGAAGTCCAGCGAGCTGACCCAGCGCAGCCTGGTCCTCGTCGCATCCTGTTCTTGGTCTGGCGAGAGTGATATCCCGCCTCCTTCCTGCATCTCCGCCCTAATGCACCGCCATACAAAACCAAAATCTATTGAATGATATACATCGATGTGCCTTGTTTTCTTGCTAATTGCTTGACGCAAAGAAGTGCAATCAACGTATGCAGCTGTTTTGGGTGTTTTACAGGCCCCAATAAGCATTTATTAGTAAATGATTTCCCTCAGATGGACGAAGATATCCAATGTGACCACAAGAATCAGCCAATAATTTACTCTGACTGGTGTTTTTCACTTTCACTCCCGAGACTTATTTGATAGGTAGTTGCTAAATTTATTTTTTCTCTCATCTCGTCAAACGGGAGTAAGACTGCACGAGGACGTCTGCCTCAACTCCTTAAAAGGGGAGATAAGGTTAACTCCCGGTTTCACCATCTCACCTTACGTAAGATGGATACTGAAAATGACTTAAAGTGGATATAAACTATAGTCCCTCATGGATTAGGAGATCATTATCTCATTATTCATATAACAATGATATTTAAAAAATGAAAATATAAATTAATAAAAATTGCATCTGAATGACCTGCGTCTGTAGGATCTACTAGTCTAACAAATGACACCACATAATATAGGGCTGTGACATATTTTTCTTTATATTAATTTCGTTAATCAATCAGATTTCGTTAGTCCGAAAAAGACAAACGAATTCAGGAGACGGTCAATCCCAGCCTCGCAGACCCTGTATTTCTTTTTCTTCCTGGCAACCCCATTCTCCAGCATGACCAACCGCGATTCCATGTATGATTGTACCTTCTAAATGATAGCCACGAGTTCAAAGATGTTTACGTGGCTATGATTTAGAAGCGGTTAAGGCACATGTCAGAATCCATCTCACACAGGGAGGGTTAGCAAAACTGGAAGTTGACCTTGCCGTCTTAAGGATTGAGGCAGATAAGGGTATCAGTCATGAATATGACAAGTGGGAAGTCGCCCCTGTGCACTTCCGCCCCAACCGTATGTAGGTCAAAGATTAAATCATATACTGTGATTCTTGTCAATCGGAATGCGTGGGCGGGATTCCAAAATAGCCCTTGGACTTCGGCTTATGGCTAATAAGGCTAATAATAATAATCCATTAAAAATTGTTATCGAATAATCATGAGTCACTTAATCCATTAATCGGTTGATGAATCGAATGTTAATCGTTCCACCTTGAACCACGTCCCAGACGTTGGAAATAATTCTGCTTGCGTCATGCCCAACTCCTAGACTCAGGAAATGACTCAAGGCGATGCAGTCGCTAACAGCAGTTACTATTCGTTCATGACGCTAGTTCATCTTGCATGTGACTATTTCCGATCGGAAAGAACATAGTTTAATTCAGATAAATAATGAAACGTAAGGAAAGAAGTGCACTGAGGCCCTTTGCCATTTAGCCAATCCATAACGGAAGGATGCAAAAATGTAACCTAGATGATTGGACGTATACTGTACTGTGACATTTCAATACGCGAAGATTTAATGATTTATAAACGATTTTCGGGCAAAACAGGGTGGAAGAGCAAAAATAGGAGCAAGCAAGGAAAAGGAGAGGGCTTTTACACTTTTGTTTCCGTTTCTCTCGCCAGCCCCAGGCTCTCCCACGCTCCTTACTTTCCGGGGACTCTCACAGACGATCGCCGGTGCTCTTGCATGTTCGCCTCTCGCTCCCCAGTCTTTACATAATCCTTTTTCCTGACTCTGTCTCATGTCCATGCCCAACTCTCCTCTTCCTTCGGTGCTTTCCCTCGCAGCTTCTTCATTACGACTTTCTTTTCCCCATTCGCATCCGGTGACTTTTCGGTCGCTCTGCCCTAGGCTGCCGTTACCTTAGCCTGACGCGGCAGGCCTGCAAGACTATGCATTTGAAGGCCGTAGGCTAGGCATGAGGAGACGGGATGCAAACCAGTACGCTTGTGGATGCGAAGGGGTCAGGGAGCACCTTTTTTGAAAAGCCTGAAAGCGATGGCTTTCATTTGTGTGCTCCCTTTTTCGAAAAATTGTATGTTGTTTTTGAGGAAGAGTGAACAGTGCGAAAAGGACTACCTTCCATAAACCATCATTACATTTCATTCTCTTGATAGAGCTCTCGATTTCGGTTTCTTTTTTTTTTGCAAGACTATGAACTACACAGTAAAATTATAAGGGAAAAATTGGCATTCGGTGGGAGATTAGAGTGGTGATTAAAATTCGAATATTATCGAATAAATTTTTTGGGTAGCTATTCATGCTTTAATCGATTAATCGGTTGAGTAATCTAATCGAATTGATAGTCGTAATGGCTAATAGCTTGAAGCAGGAAATGCTAATATTTCCGTTCACTTGCAAACAGGTTCCCATGCTGAAGATGAAAGTCGCAGGATTCGTTTTCATTACATTTTGTCTTAGTTCATTCAGTGCGACGTTCCATTCGTGATCTCTTTATTTTAAGTAAAAGCAACAGCATATATGTTTCTTGCAGGCGCGCTTTCCACCTGGGTGATACGGAGTTCCCGTAAAAATTTAGCATTTCCATTGAGAAATTGTGCTGTTTCATGCGTTTTGAGAAAATATTGACTAATACCCAGGTTGTTTCAGAGGCAAAAAAAAGTGCCTTGTCATCCAAAGAATCACTGGGCATAAGTAAATTTAAAAAAATATTACACCCAATATGAACAAGCCAATGCCTGTACAAGTTTATTCCGTCTCTTACCTGACCATTTTCTTTCTCGGTTCCAACCCAGGCCACGTCGTGCTGACAAATGAAGTCACCTTGGAGTCCCGCATCTCCCCGAAATAGACGAGTATGACCATATCCCGACCGGCGAAGAGTCCCCCGAGCTTCGGCTCCGTCACTTGGTACACCACCCAGCAATCGTCCGTCAGTCGCTGTCGATCGAGCAGCCAAAGTCGAACCGCGAATTAAACCGCGATTCTCCCGAGGCAGATGGTCTCGAACGGACGAGAGAGAATTTGACGTTAGTTGCTCTAGCAATTTGACTTCGATGACCATTTGGTGGAACTGAAAGACTCTACTTGGGAAAAATCACAAGTGTCTTTTCAAATCCTCCAAAGAGGCAGACCGTGTCATAGCGATGCTGGAAAATATTCTAAGTGAAAATATTAAGGAAAATATTAATAAAGAAGTGATGTACGAAAAGAACAGGAATATCTGATACTGCCAAAAACAGATTCACCGCTTTTGTCAAATAACTCGCAAGTCATGGAACTCTGCTAATTTAGCAGAATGACACGAATGCCAAATGCGTTCTGGCATATTATCATCGTGTTCAAGCTATTTATTGCTGACTTGATGAAAGCTAGATGATGATGCAAATATTGCAAATATGTCGGTGATATTAATATTACTACAAGCGCGCCAACATTGATCCGATCGCAATGCTTGCAACAAGCTTTAATGATGGAGAAAAAAAAATTGTTTCATGAACCCTCAAAATGAAAATTTAATTTTGACTTGGCATTCTTGAGATCATGCATGTTGCGAGACTCATGCAAATGCTACCTGGAAGCATATAACAATTGACGGACCTGAACGATCTTGTATTCCATGACATCGGCGTACCAATCGGCAGTGGCTGCCAGCGTGTGGCCTTTAAGGTCTCGAAATACCCAGTCGCAGTCGAAATCCAGCAGGGCCTGCGATGGAGAAAGCAAATTTTGAATACAGGAATTCTTTGTTTTTGTAAGTAATTCCATTTCCTTCCCTTTTCTTCCACTCCAGCAGGAAAATTTTTACGCACACACTTTATAAATGTAAGTTATCATTCTGATCTAACCGGGATTTGACGACGAGCCTTTCCGCCTCATTTCTGTTTGGTTTTACACACATTCCTCCTTACGCCAAGAGAATGGATCCAGAATTCACTTGCGAAGACCAGGCCCCTATTCCTCCATTTCGGAAGACGTCCCATGACTGGCACCTTCTTTCAGGCCTGGGGGAGGCTGTGCGACTGGCTTCTTCTTTCGCTCTCATGATGATGCATCGCATCCATGCATGAATGCACAGTTCGATCTTCCACCTTGGAGCATGTGTCCTTGTGCTCTCTGTTAGCTGCTAACGGACGTTTGGACTCCTTACGTAGCAGTCCGTTAGCAATTACGATGGAATATCGGAAAATAAGTTTCCCATGTCTCTGAAAGGAGAAATATATTCCCAACATTCGTACACGCAGTGGTGATATGAAACCCTTTTCCCACTCCACATTTCTACATAATCATCACCGGCATTCATGCATTCGTCCCATCGGTAAATGAGTTTTTCTCGCGAATGAATTCGGAGACCCGAGCGCTCATCATCCTTCACACACACGTTCGGCCCTCAGCAAATGCACGGCACCACCTTACCATTTCCCCATCGTCACCATACACGGCACCACCTTACCATTTTCCCATCGTCACCATATACGGCAACGATCTGACGGTGGATACCGACGGGTGCATGCTTGTTTGCCCACAAAAACCGAATCACGCTGCTGACTTCACAGTTTGCGTACGCTTCCAAGAGGACGGCCATTTTGTCACCATTACTGCGCATGCACCCTGCCACCAGTGCATGGATGGTAGGGCAGGAAACAGTGTCCATATTAACATATGTACCGTCACACTCGTACCAACAGTTATTTTAGTTCTAGAGACATGGGAAACTTTTTCCCGATACCCTCTCGTAGTAGAGAGTACCCACTAATTCTTTTCAATTTTTCTAACATGGAATTCAAATTTTCCTTTTCCAAATATTTTCCTTTTTCTAACGCGCTGATCTATGATATAGGAGAAAACGAGAGACAACCTCCGTCAAGAGGAAATGCGTCTTCGTCTCTTGATCGAACACAGACTTGATGGTGATTCCCTCCTCGCCGTAATCCTTTTCCAGTTTCCAGTCCTTCCTCTCCAGGTTGAAGCGGAACTTCTCCAGCGCTCTTTCACCTGCATCCCCGCATTTCTTCGTCAGTAGCTGCTGAACGTACAGCATTCCCGATCTTAATACCGATTTGCCCAATGATCGGCCAGTTTCACGATGCATAGAACGGATTGTAAATGTGGTAGATTTAGGCCATTTATTATTATATCACGAAGAAATCACTATGGAATTCCTTTAATGACAGTTTTGAAGATCTTGGTAGATTTTTTTAGGTTAAGAGCGTCGTTAAGAGGTTAACTCATAGAGACTTCGATATGAAAATCCCGCTCTTCCATGTATCGGGCCGTAGAGGTTTCAGAAGAGCCCAATACATACGTGCCTCATACGTTGTCGAAGTGCTTCTTACCTATGGCTGCTTTCTTACTCGACCTTGACAAGTGAGAATTATATTATATCATATATTATATTATATCATTATATCATACCAGACATTAGAAAACGTCACTAAGTTAAAGGTGAACTCTTTATTGGACTGGATAGGGATGAGACCCCAGAGGACAGGCAATTCAGCAGTCAAGAAAAGTCAAATCAGTCTCGTTATCAATTATATTCATTCTAGGAACTGAAACCATTTCAGGCACGAACCATCATGAAAATGCCAAGCGTATGATTAGTCATGGCGGCTCGTTAAGGGGAGGCAAGAGAGACCCTTCCTCATATAATTGAAGAAAAAAAAACATAAGTGTAGCGAATAACGAATAAATTTCTGATTTTCCTCGGATTCATTCTCAATCGACACAAAACGAGCGAAGTCCGGTCTCTGACAGTTCACTCCTGCCCAGAATCGCGCATGGGAGGCCTGGTGGCCTCCTCTGGCTCATAGACAGTGCACACGGGTATCCCGTAGCGCTTGCAATACGTTAGTGGAAGAGAGCAGGGAAGCCGGCCGCACCGTCTGCGTTGCGCACGAGCTGGTGCCTGCTAGGCAAGAGCTAGCATGCCTGCTAGCAAGAGCTAGCACGTCTTTCGGCCCCTTTCCCTCGGGTAGGGAGCTTCGCGGTCATTCTTAGTCGTATTGCCAGTTATAACATTCTTTGGGTGGGCTAGACGCGATTTTGTTCTGAAGTTGTGAAACTCGAGGTTCGATGGTGATTTCGATACAATATACACTGTGAACGTGAAACGGTTCCTCGCTCAGCGACTGACCTAAGCACACCTTTCGTGCTTCATGCTCCCATTAATGCTTCAATTAATTATTTTTCATCATGAGCTACAACTGGTAATTATAAATGTCTACGTGTCTCATTCGTTCAAGGCTGCAAAGATGCCCTCGGTTTAAATAAAGATAGCGTTACCGTGACGGACAACGTATTCGTGATGTCGTATGATCGTATTTTTGCTTTGTGATACACACCAGTCAAGAGACTGGTGTGTATCTGCCAGCTTACCTTAATTCAAATACACTTGGCGAGTATTCATTTGCGAGTACTCACCTTTCGACCGTGATGGACGCGATGTCGTGACCTAAATTAAACGGAATTAGAATCTCATCTGCATTAATCGCAATGGAATTTTGGATATGTCACTCGAGGACGCCAAGGAGCTTTCGAGAATAGTCGCAAAAAAGTTGTCGACTTCCCTCTCCGATCCTTATGCCATAGACAAACCATCGCATGCAGGCCTCGACTTCTCAGCTGAGGCTTCAAGACACTGCATAATCAGGAGTACAATGATGAGAACACAGTATAAAAGAAAACAGACATCATGGCATTTAAGAGAAAAGTTTTGAGCAGAGCTGCAACTGCATGCGTGAAAGAATTTCCTGACTGCATACTTTGAACTCTATTTACTGCTTGTTTACTTACGCCTCTTGTTTGAATACTGACCCCAACACTTCAAACCTTCATTATGCAAATTATGCAGTGGATCCACTGCGAAAAAAAATTACGAACCTAGAATTTACACCCTCGGTTTCACAAGACAACAGGACACTGCGCATGTCTGACTACGGGAGATGCGCACGGTCGAAAGGATGGCCACACTAACCTCTTCTCCAACGTCCGACATTCCAACTGATGGACCGAGCAGTAACACGGCAGGGAGGAAGGGCGAAGGCGATGTGGCATGCCTTCAGCGAAGGAGGCCGAGAGGATGACTACGCGAGCGTCGAGCTGACCTTGAAATGTCATAGCGACGAGGAAAAGCGGGGAATATGCATTGACTCGACGGAAAACGCTCATTCTTTTATTCGTAGGCCTGGTTAGAAGAGTAGATGAGGTTGGGTCGAAAGCGAAGCCTCGAATAATGGCGGTGCTAGCCATAGGGCAAATGACGTCACTGGTGTACGCCCGCTCCATTCTCGCCATTGGTAATGATATCATTTGGAGCATGATGTCCACATTTCGTAACCGATCGCTCTTTAAAAAAAATCCCTTAAATCGAGGAAGGGAATGCATCGAATGGGAAAGAGGCGGGGAGGATTCCGTACGGAAAAGTTTGAGGGGAATGCGACTGTAGTGAGAATATATCGGTAGGTATAATATACGATTGCCCTATTATTTGCGGAAATTGTTAACACGGGTCGTTTGCCCTTTCGAAATGGCAAATCGCGTGATTTTCACAAACACCATGAACATATTCCTTCTCGCAAACTTCAACGAAAGACCCGTTTCTTCTTCACCTTCTTGTCCTTGCCGAGCGACTCGGAATTTACGAAGAGAATCCGGGTGAACAGCCGCGTTCTTACAAATATTCGGGATACTCGACGGTCGACTTGGAATTTCTATCGGATCGACTCGGCGAGAGATGACAGTCGACCCCAAAGCGTTGTTTTGGGGTCTCTCCCTCAGGGATTTCATTTCCCGCGCGTTTGCACCGCATCACTTTGGTCTTTAACTACCCAGCTTCCTTTAAAACGACGAAACGAACATTTCTCGCCGTCGGCTCCAAAATCATCAGCTGTTCTTGCAGGCGGCGACACCGGCATCTGCGAATGCTATGATCCTGGCAGCACCACAATCTAGAGATACAATCGTTTAATGGAATGGAGGTGCAAAGAGCAAGGTAATATGGCAAGAAAAAACTAGCCGATATGACATTTTTAACAGAGGAGAAATAGACAAGAAAAAAAAGATTTTATCAGTCAGCCGAGGAGAGTGAATACCAGTGACGTCATTGGCTCTCGAGCCAATGACGTCATTGGGATGTAGCCCAACCTTTCCTACTCTTCTAACCTGGCTCGTAGGTGAGAAAGAGCAACGCCATGAAGAAACGGAGGCATGGATCGATCGATCGTATCGGCGGCAGGCACGGAGCAGGCACGGAGCACTAGCGCGTGAGAGTTCGAGGTCGGCCGACGGACTTGGGTGAACGTGCACGAAGGGTAACGCTTATTGCTCCTTGCAGTAGTGCAATAATTGCACTATTGCGAACTTCCGATATTTATCTGCCATTTCCGCAAGTACTATGGGAAAATGGGAGGTATTCGCTCTGTGAATTTTCTTTTCTTCCTCAGTCCCTTCGCCCGCCGTTCCCATAGCAAATTGACACAGCGCGCATGTGCAGCACTTTAATTGGTCGAGTCATTGGTGACACCGAAGGTGTCATCAAATGTTACTGGTCCAGTTGATGATTTAAAAAAGAAATTCGTGTGTGGTTTTCGCTTAGTAGATTTGGCGCATGAAATTTCTTTCGGATTACGCGCGATAAAGACTTCCAGATGCAAATAAATTTTCCAGAAGTTTTCGCCAATGAAGAATGACAGCTCGTGTGGTAGGGCAGAAATCGATATAGGCATTCCCGGCCGAAATTGCGAACGGCCTCTCCATATTCAAAGAATCTTCTAAAAGTTAAGTTAATTTATTAAGCAGTCTCATTTTGTCGCATTATCATTGTTATTTTATTTCAGAGCCATTCCATATGGTGCGGCTAACGAGGAGTTGGCGATAGCGGACGAGATATGCATGGAGGGAAAAAATGCCATCGGGGGAAATTTGCAAACGTGCAGTCTGAAAAAAAAAGGAAAAAAGGGAAAAGCAACGGACTGATTTAATTCCAACAGTGACGAGAACGAATTATCTTTACCGAAGAAACCTCGAGGGGGAATACCATAGAGGCCATGAAGGCCTCTATAGAGGCCTTCGCGGTTCCGCATAACGTGATTGGTTGGGTGGAGGTCCCAAGGCATATAGCCCGGGGCAAGTTCCCTCTTTTGCCCTCCACCTCTCCATGTGTCTGCTATGAAAAACCTTGCTCGTGCGACTTCAGTAAGATGGCGGCCCCGCCTGGAAGGGTGCAGGGCCCCGCGCCATAGGGGAGGCCCCTCCGTTATACGGTCTCTATGGGAATACTCACTTGGTCCTTACACCTGAGGTGCTCCATAGACCCTGCGTCGAACGAGCAGTCGGATGACTCGGCGACTTCGCTCATTCGACCCTTTCGAAGGGCCTCCGGCTATGCAGAGACGGGGAGTGAGACGTGCGCATTGCGCTCTCTGCCTTCCGACCGCAGTCGCGTGTGCGTCGCGGTCGGGGCAGGGTCGGTTCTCCGATCGCTTACGGGTTAGAACGGGGGACTGGGTCTGAGAGACCAAGCATGTCGATTTAGCCACTTTCTTGAAGGGTTGGAGAAGCAGTGAAGTCTTCGGATCAACCGACGGCTGAACGTGAGTCTATGGCTCCCACGATTTTCAAAACAAAAGGGTACTCGTGCTCCAAAATTTAGCGATTGGAAGGTACGAAAAATAAACGTATAAATCACCAAAGGGATGAGACATTTTTAGAATGAGAATGCATTCAACGTGTTATAACCGTAACATAAACTAAATTCTGACTGAAGAGTACGCCAACTAAAACTCACATGCGCAGTAAGAAATGGAATCCGGAGAACACATCCAACGAGAATCCGATTCAAGGGAAAAAAACAACTAAATCAGACGGATAGCGAAGTGACACTGGTGACCTAGGTAGTCCCTTTACCCCCCCCCCCCCCCCCCCCCTTCTAGCACAGTCGAGCAAAAGCAAGTTTTGAAATGCACTAGCACGACCTTAGGTTATGTTCGTTCTCCGATCTCTCCGAATGAACAGTGACGTCACTGCTCAAAAAAGTACTCAATGGCTGTTCATGACATTTTTCTCAGCCGTTGGTATGTGTCTTACATCTGGGAGGAGAAGCGATAACCAAAACGTTTTCGTTATCCGACTCTTACCCCCCCCCCCAATATAATCCTCACATGAAATTAAAGGAAATTTTTTTTTTTCACCTGCGTGGTAGAGGAATCGAAGGACGACAGATCATCACGGCACGAAAGAGTGACGTCTTGGAGGAAGTGCATCGTCTTAAGAATGAGCTCCAGAGCGAACATCTTCATCTCGCTCGCCTCCTTCGACGACTGCAGCGGATTCCCGAGACTCGGGACCTCCCCGCTTCCGATCCAGAGGGCTGCATGGAGGGGAAGAGACAGATGACCGAAAAGGGCCTCGCAAGCCTCACGAGTCCTTTTAAAAGTCTCAGCGCTGGGACCGTGGAGAGTGTAACTGGAGGCTTCCACTCCGCTCGAGTCCCATTCGTTGACGGGGTCGCAAAATGTCACGGTCGATCCTCCACCTAGCGTACGCACAACTCCATTTCCGAACAGCGGACTCGACGAGACGCGCGTGCTACGCTGAGGGATCCCTTTGGGTCGAATCCCCGAACGAGTCGATTCCCGATTCCGCTGCCGCGAAGCTCGCCTTATAGAAATGTTGATAAGCCATCAGATGTCTGTGATATTTCGACTCCCCCCCCCCCTCCCTCCCCTACCCCTAGGGGTGTCGCCTCTAGTTATATTCTCTACTCTATGGCTGGGACCAAGGCTATATCCCTGAGGTCTTGTTGGGCTTTCACGGATCCAGCTTTCGTTGGATGTGTCGGAGCCAGTTCATTTGCATGCGTGGGAGTTTCAGTAGATCTACTCCTGATTTCGAATCTCGCTCAAGTTAGTATTTTTTAACGTCACCTTCAATAGTCGCTCCGAAAGCTGAATCTTGGGTGATTTCACTTGCTTCTCGCGATTCCACTCTTGAAATTTTGGAATGCAAGGACGTTCGCGTTTCGGTTCTGCAAATATTCGGAGCCACAAACTGCACGTCCAGCCGTCCGATGGCTCGGGGATTCCACAGCTTTTCTAACCTATCCATGCTAGATGGAACGTGAGATTCGCAGTGGAAACACGCTGCACCGTTGGTTTCCCAGACCCAGTCCTTCGTTTCGGTTGCTGCGTGTGATCGGGGAGGTCACCTTCACCAGACCACAACGTGTGGGCGGTTCAGGTCGGAGAGGGTGGCAAGGTCCATTGCCTTACCCCCCCTCTCCCCCTTCCCCTCCCCCCTCTCCCCCTTCCCCTCCCCCCCTCCCCCTTCCCTGAAATGCATCTCTAGCAATTTATAGCGGAGCCGAAGGGGGGGGGGGGGGAAGGGCGATGAGTGGCCTTGCATTGTCTAGACACACGTCCAACCTGGAAGGAAAGTCCTCTCATAGCCCCCCGAGGCAATGCACTGGCTGCTGGTAGATTCACACTCGAGTGCGTGCGAGTGCATGGCCTCTATCATCGCATCACTTTCCCTCCGGTCCGTGTTCGTGGCTCGTGCGTCTCGAAGGGATCCCAATGCGATCGCTTCCGACATTTTTCGAGCACAGTCTATACTGTATATACTGTGCATACAGTACAGTCAGCCGAGTCTCAACTTTTCATGCTCAATATTAAACTGCGTTCTTGTGCCGAGTGGGGAAGCTCCACGTTGAATATGCGGTGTGCCGGCGATGAATGTTCAACGTTTGGGGATTTCAGTACCCAACAAACAATTTAAAACCCATTCGGCAGAACAACGTTGTATCAACATTGAGAATAGGGTGAAACGTTGAGACTTGGTTGAAGTTGAGAATTCGACGAAAAATCAATATCGGTGAAATGCTGAATGAATTATTGAATTGAATTATTCATAATTAATCGTATTTTCAGCATCTGGTGACTGCTCGTGAATTAAGGAAGTCGTTCAGAGGATATTAGGAGCAAATTAAAAAAAAATCGCATTCACAATGTTGTTTTTACGTGGAGTTATGCACATCATATCAACAGAAAATAGGTTCTACGAATCGACGCGAGATGGCACGTAACCGCCGATTCGGCGATTCTTATCCTGATGCCTTTAGATAAACAATACCCTGCATTTTTCATAAGTACCAGATCTCTTCGCCATTTACAGCTTAGGGGAAGGTATAGGAATTCCTAGATAGACATGTTTAAAGAGGTAATCAGGCAGAAGGAGGCCCAAATTACTTCTGGCTAGTGGGTCCGAGAAGACACGCTCAATTTTCATAAACCTCCACATGGAAGACTACGTAGACTCATCCATGATGGATAGAGTTTATAAACTGCGAGGTTGTTTTTCTCTAGTGGATCTGAGAGGATTGAGTCTTGCAAGTACTCAATGGGAATTCTCATCCAGTAGAGGAAATAAAGCTCTGAGGGTCCTTTGCGCGAGATGAGTGGACTGAATGGAGTGCTATTTGTATCAGACCATTTAGACACTCTCAGTGGAGTTATCGAATCGAATCACTCTTTGAAACTATTGATAAGTGGAGGTCATATAATGGCTCTACGTTGACAATTCAACATTGACACAACGTTGCACAGCAACACCTCGTCAACGCTTAACTGTGTTTCATTTCACTATTGGAGCTACGTAGAGATACGCCAAGTCGAAAAATCAAAATTTGCACATTGAGACAGCATTGTTACATTGAAAAAATCAACCTTTGCTCAATGTTGACAAAACGTTGCTGGGCCGAATGGGCATTGTCTTCAGATTGATTTCCCCCCTCGGACGAGGCTTGAATGCATTACATGCAAGAAATGCATCAAATTGCTGCATTTTGGGCGTGAAGAAGTTTGCCCTGCATGAAGCGCTTGAACCTTTTAATACACGATTTTTTATTTTCGGCGAAAAAATCTAGTATGTATTCTTAGGTCCTAGAACACAGGAAAAGAGGGGAAAATATTAATTCCTCAAATTTATAAGTGAGTTGTTCGAAATTTTCATTGTTGCACATTGTTGCACAACACCTTCAGCCTTCTAACCCACGCTGCATGGACGATAGAGAGCCAAGTCAGTCTGTCAACATTACATACAACGTACATATAGATATCTCAACGCAGAATAACATGTAAAATATTAGGGCTGTCAATTCGATTAATTTAATCGACGGAATTAATCAATTAAAGTAATAACCGCGACATTAAAAATTAGTCTAAAAAAATCGAATGTAGTCGACCCCCTAATCTCCCCCTTAATGCCTCTTTTTCCCCTAATAATTTCATAATACAATGGCACTTAAATCGATTATTAGGTCTATTAAATTAATCGATTAGACAGTCCTAAAAAATAAGGAATGAACCTGGACCATGGATTGTTCTCAATTTGAAAATAATTAAATCAACAACGTCAGTCTGCCGCACAACGAAGCTGCGCGTTTGTAATTTGCTTCCTACCAGAAGTGTGGGGCACCTAGCGGTTGCTAGGTGCCCCACACTTCTGGTACTAGGTGCCACGTACAAGGACTGGGCTGTCGCACATCTGATGCGAACCGACTGACCGCTACAGCTCACTACCTAAGCATCCGAAAAAAAAATATTTAAAATACAGCTCGTCTGCTACATCATGCATTAAAGGGTTAAACGCATCACATTAAGGACAGATCTCTCCATGCACAAAATGCATCAATTTGATTCCCCGAACATTCCGCGTGCATGGGAAATGTTGGGCGGACTCACCTTGCTCGAGCAGCTTCTCTTGGCGCACCTTCGAGAGACCGCGAGATCTTGAGTCGCTGAGGCCGTACGACCTTAAGCCGACTTTAGTCGACTCAGTCGCAGTTCCCGACACGGTTCAGGCCTAATGAGGATCGGAAAATGACCTGATCACCATAGAAAGTTGCATTAGCGTTTTTTCTTGCGAGAAGGTTCATATTAGCTATCGCTAATAATTTTTCAATCCAGGAAAAGGGGTAGTATAATAATTGAAACGTACAATTATCAATAAATGGATTTTCGACATTTCAAATTGAATTTGAACGTCGGGAGGACAACAGAGAACATTCAAAAACTCTGGTCGAATCGAATAAGGAAAGAAGATAAGCCTGGAAAAACCTTTTTTGCTATTGGCGACAATTCCTTCGACTAGCTATCGCGATCACGAAATAAAGCTGGTTTTTTTCACCAGTCACTCTCACTCCTGATTTTTTTATTTGGTACTTTGAATCGTCTCCGCGAGCTACACAGAACTGAAGGAACTCCGAGACGACTTATCTCTTCCTTTAATCCGATGGGATCAGAGTACAAAAGGGGGAATCACCACAACGCGCGTCATAGCGCAAGAATGACGAAGATTTCACAGGGGAGAAAAGGCACGATGCAAGAGAGAGGAAACCCATACTGAGCACGACGATCTTTACCGAGGAATTTTTTTTAGGGGAAGGCCAAGCCAGAGATTTCGTCAAGGACAGAACAAGTTTCGAGCATCCATCTGCGTTAATGTTTCCTACGCAGTACCTGTCAAGGGAACGCGCGTGCGACGGAGATGACGCCCGTAAGTCTTTCTGTCGCAATCGGGGTTGGGCCCTCGCCTGGAGGGGCCGAAACACCTGGGAGTTCATTAGTCAGGCCGTAATTGAGGGATAGTAATTATTATTCCTGCTCGGTAAAATTCATTTGGTTCAATTGACGATCTTCACTGAGAACCAGGTCACGAATATCAACGAATTTGCATTTTTTTTTTAAATTGAGATTGAAAAATTCATTATCGATCGGTTTTAGCATTCAAGAATTGAATTATCATTGAATATTTTCAAGAGAGCATGGCACATTTCAATTCCGCTCCAAGAAAAATCGCTCACTTTTTTTTGTTGAAGTGCAGTGTTCAATATTGAGGATTGGATCCACGGAAATATGTTTTCCGAGGGTCCAATGCAAGAGTCCACTGTTCAAAGTCATCAAGGTCCACTGTTCAAAATCATCAAGGTCCACTGTTCAAAGTCATCAAGGTCCACTGTTCAAAGTCATCTTGGCATCTTCCATGGGTTTGCTTGGCCAAGCGATTTTAGAGGAACTACCGGTCGATCTGTACGCCAAATCTCATGGGCGTTGTACAGAGCATTTTGGAGAAAAGTACTGAAATGTGTTCGAAATTGGGGCAAGAAACGCTACTATACGTGGATTTTTCTGTTTTTCTCGGCTTCAAGGCAAATATCGGGAAATATTCTCTGATAGATCGATAGAAAAGACTCTCTGGATGAAAATGAGACTCCACTCGTCGCTTTGCTGCAGGGGGTTCGCTCAGAAAGTTTATTCAAACCAAAATGATATTTCCCCCCCCCCCATTCAACAAAGGTTGCCGAAAAACGTCCGAAGTCGCTTTTATTCAAATAAAACATGTGAAATTTTCTCTCATGGATCGATAGATATGATTGCCTGGAGTGCGTGGATGCATTCATCGTTACGATCCATGCTCTAATTTCTTCGGAAAATTCATTCCAGCAGAAAACTCACCGCCAGCCTCCGCCGGAGCGAGGCTTTCATCGGCGGATCGGGGATCTCTCAGGCAAAATCACCGCAGATTTTTTGGCTGGTTGCTAATTTCTTTTGATTTCCTTGTTTCATGTAGCGATTCAAAATTTATGATTCGGAAACGACTTCTTGCGAAAATCACGTTTCGCTTTCCATTTTTAGGTATATCCCGAGTGTCATTTAAAGAAACTAATGTATGAGTTCTCGCCGAAATTATATTTGCCCCTCCCTGAGGAATTCGTGTCGAATATGAAACAATGCTGGGAAATCTGACGTCTGCGCATTTGTGTTTATAGACATATTTACCTTCAAGCTTTAATTTCTCAGAAAGAAAGAGGGACATGTCATGTTTTTTATGTCTGTCCTATCAACGACGAAAAAGATTTCTCCCCCATTACATGCATGCCAATGAATATTTTTTACCTTTGGTCTATGAGGACTTCACTGATGCTTTCTGGAAAAATGAATTAAGTCACGTTTCTCCCTGGATGTCTTCCTCCTTGCAAACTACGCCAGGTTACGTTCCTTCATCATGCGATGGAATCGTTTACGATTCAGATGAGTCATCAAATCCATTTCTTGGCGTTCGCGTCTCCAAATTGTGGGACTTTTCCCTTGTTTCCTTTTGCTTTTCTAGATGACAGCGTGAGCAGACGACAGTACTCAAGCTTTTTTTTTTTTTCGAAACATCTATTCCACTTCCCCCCTCCCCCCCCCCCCCCCCCCCCCCCCCCC